GACGTCACACACAGCCAGCTTTTACCTTGAGATGATGTTCTGTCACCTGCCAGGTAGATGAGGGTGCTACCGGAGAATCTGTCTTTAGACTGTCGAACAGGGAACCCCAAGGCGTGCTCCTTGACTCGTTTACGTCCACGTCAGCCGTAACCAGAAGACAAGGCCTCGACTGGAACCAAGGTTTTAAATAAAACTTCCGTCTGGAGAGTTTCTGAAGGTGGATAAACCAGGCGTGGTTTTCCACACTGTGAGGTTTCCCCGTTGGCGATGAAGGGGCCAAACCTGACACAGTTTTCAGCTTTTGATTCCCCGGAGAGAATCTAGCTGTTACGGTGACTGATGGCGGTCATACACCTTTTACTTTTTTTCTTTTCTCAGTGTGCTAAACGGGCGGAAACTGTTAGTTCCTAAAAGCTTAGAGAATCTATGGTCCGCCCTCCAGATGGTTAGATTAGAAAAAGAAATTAAGGAAAGTGTTAGTTTCAGAGCTCGCTATGCCCCCTGAAACAAAACAAAGATTATTGCTGCTGCTGTGTGGTTCAGAACAACACATTTCATGACCTATTTAAATTACCTGATGAGTACTTGTTTAAAACATAACTGAAAGACAAATGAATTGCTTCAAGTTCAAAACATTTGCAAATATGATTCAGACAAGTAAAACATTGATATTCCATCAACTTAAACCATAAAGATTATTTTAGTTAAATAAGAATTTTTCCACAGAAAAACCATACATAGCTGAAATCATACTGAGGGAGAAAAGAGATCTGTCCTCTCTTCTCCTGTAACTTTGATAAACATTCTCTGATTATCAAAATGCGTAATACTTTCAGTTAAGAGAACAATAAATCAAATAAGAGAAGATTCTTCTGTTTTTATCTGATTTAGAAGGAAAGTGGCCTTTGGTGGCCTAAATACATTTCTAAGTGCAACAGAGTTTTTGTCCTTTAGAAGGCTCATTAGAGGACTGAGAGTCCAGGATAGTTCCTTGATCATTTGACTCAAGGTGACCCCTACATAGTTAATAATAAAACAAGAAATAGAATTAATGATTTATATTTAATTAGATATTTCTTATTGAGGAATATTGAAAGATGTTCACTGCAGAAAAGGCAATAAAATGGGCATTAATTAATCAGTCAACTCTCAAATACCTGAACTATACGAGTTCATGTTTTGACAGGCAGGACAGATGAACAAAGCAGTGAACTATGAAGAAGGAAAGTGTCCTTGTTTTGTGATTTTTTTTTTTACAGGAGCACAGAAATAAAGTAATAACACTGAAACACAGCACCTGGTTCTCTGTGGTCCAAAAACGGACAAAGATACCCCGTCAGACTTTTCGTCCTTTAGATTTACAGCTCCATCTGCAGAGCTACTTGATTTAGGATTCTTTATTTAAGTAAGCAGAATGCTGAACTTTTACTTTCAAAACAACCACATACCCAGGCAATAAGACGAGATTAAAATTTATGAGAAATAAACCTGAGATTTGTGGGTAAAGTATTCTCTCCCATGTGTTTGGTAAAGGTCAGACATTTAACAGAAGGAACAGACACCAGCATGCTTCAACATAGAGAGGCCCTTTAAAGACAGATGCTCCATCATTAGTCTCATTGTGTGAGTGAAATGTTGTTGAATTAGGAGTAACTCTCACCTTGGGAYCAGTTTCAAGAACCAAGGGTACAGTATCCATCAGAATGAGCCAAATTGCTCATAACGAGGGATTTTTGGCCGCTAAATATGACGGAGAGCTGGATCTCATTATGAAGTCAAGTGACGCGTTGGTTAATCCTCCTTCACTGAAATCATGGTAGCTGGATAATCCTGTTTAAATGGACCCCCCTCCCCCTCCCCCCCATGGCCGGTCAGCAGTTCCTTTTCTCTGTTACTTCAGAGACACTCAAGGAGAAAATAACTGGCAAAAGTCTTATATATAAAACATAAATAACTGTTTACATGTGTTTGGATGAGAGGGAGGCAGGTGGAACAGTGAGGCTACAGATGTGAGGTGAGCAACAAAGGGTCAAAGGAAAGGTTTACGAATGCACCCGCTTCGGATGTTATCATCCATTAAATGGACGTTATTAGCCGTTATCAGTCCCATAGAATGGCTTCAGACTGTCCCGACTGTGCCGCTTAGTGGGTTCTCCGTCCCATAGAATGGCTTCAGACTGTCAGCTGGTTAGTATGAGGCATAAAACCACTAAAGTTTTATATGCAATCTGGTTAATATGAGGTATAAAACCATAAGGTTTATTACGCAATCAGGTTAATATGAGGTATGAAAACTACTAAGGTTTTTTATACAATCTGGTTAATATGAGGCATAAAGCCACTAAGGTTAATTTTAGAGAAAATGACGTGGGCTACGATCAAGTACACCAGACTCCGGTGGTAGCAAATTGTTGCATTCCAACGTACTGTATATGGCACTGGTAACCCAGTAGGGGGCACTGTCGGGACAGTCTGAAGCCATTCTATGGGACTGATAACCGCTAATAACGTCCATTTAATGGACTGATAACACCCAAACCGGCTGACGAATGAGTAGTGAGCTTTGTTGTGTGGTTTGGAGACAGTGGCGCTGACGGAAAGACAGGAGACAGAGCTGGAAGTGGCAGCGCGGAAGATGTTGAGGRTGTAACAAGGATGGAAAAGTTTAGGACCGAGATCATAAGAGGCACAGCACAGGTTGTACAACTGGGGGGGTGGGGGTGGGGGTTTAAGTTAAAGGCCATTAACTTGAGTAAAGCCCATTTTATTTCCATCCATGAGTTTTTGGCCATTTGACTATCTTTATAAATGTCTGCTTCTGGGTACAACAGTCAGACTCTGGYAGCGAGTTGAAGCAAAATGCAGCTAAGTGCTGCTGACCAATCCCYCAATAAGTTCCGATGTGAGAAATGCAGCTGAGGTGTATGGATACAGTTCAAGATGACATGGAGGTAGTTGAAGTGAGGACAGAGGATYCAGAGGACATGGCTCG